CTATTTTGTTGTCATATAGTTTGCAAAGCCTTGTTATATCTGGAAGCGCTCATCAAGTTTGTTTTGTAATAACGCCAAGTGATCAGACGCGTTTCTCCACGATGCTCGTACCAACTCCATTTGCACGTGCCGCGTTTTTGTTTAGAGACGAACATCACCACCAGACTTGCCACACTCAAACTGTTCATAACAACGCTAGTCGCACCAGCCATGTTTCTCCACCTGTCCATTGATGAATACAATCACCAAAACTACAACGACGATAGCCTCTAACGCGATGGCAGCCTCTGGCCACATAGCTGTACAACAACTATGACAACACATAACAACCATGGAAGTAGCGATGTCAACGTTAGCTGGTTTTCTTTTTGGCACACTGAACTACTTCAATGATCCACCGGATGTATCTAAACTCAAGTTGACTTTTATGCACATCGAGTTTGAGGGGATGTTAGAGATACCTAGAATATTTTCTAGAGATATTTAAGATATTTTCATATCTCTAGTGATTGTGCATATATTTGGGAGATTCTTCATATCCCCGATTGTGAATATATTGATTGATTGTACTTGATTTGATTACCTTAGATAATTATTTAATAAAATCTATAAATTGACCCTTGTACTTTTCATTAGATACATCCAATACACACAAATTTCACAATTTTGTATTTAGCATATATCTAATCTATCATACCTCTACTCCGGTCATCAGTAAGGCCTCGGCAACCTCTGTTGGCCCTTTTTGGTGATGGACGGCACTGACAACCCACCTGTGAGTGCTTGTGGCTCGTTTTTTTTTGGCTTGGGTTTTTAAAAAAAGAATTATTTTTTATTTTTAAATCTAATGTAAGTAAAATTTTAGGAAGAAAATGATAAAAAAATTGCTGCGTAAGAGAGAGAAAATAGTTAAAAAAATTGCACGCTTGACAAAGTTAACGGAATGATTTGATTGTACTTTTTGAAAGTTTTAAGACTCAATTGGACTTTCACAATAAGTTTTAGGACTTCTGATGTGCTTATCCCATTATTTTCTAATGCCCCTTTTACGTGCAAACCAAACTACGAACATACATATATAAGACTTAGTCCAACCTAATAATCAAGCAATGTGGGATTATATTGTAACATATTGTTGCGAAATAACAATATCCCTGCAGAGTCTCCAACATAGGTGCCGTGACAAGCCTCAACATGAGTGAGGTGGTGAAAATGGCACGATATTCCTTATCGAGAGAGTGTGGAGTATTCGACCCAAAAGAAGGAAGAGAGAGTGTGGAGTAGCCTATATACCTCCTATTATATAATAAAACAGTAAATATCACTTACCAAAATTCATAAATGGGCATGAGAGAACATGGAAAAGGTTACAACACTAAGGTCCCTTCACCTTAAAGAGACGTCACATAAAATAAGCCTTTTTCTTCAAAAGAAGGGTAAAAACTGCTAAAAACCATAAATTATACCCCATGTGACACATTTACTATAAACTTTTTTTCATGACACAAAAAATTCCCAAACTTTTATCTATATGATACATTTACCATCCGTCAAAGTTCTATAAATGAAAACTATTAAAATTCTGCCTACATGGACACCAGAAAGAAAACGGCGCTCACGTAGCTTAAGCGAAATAAAAAAATGATGTTATTTTGGCTGAAAAATTATTTAACGAAATTTTGATGGACAGTAAATGTGTCACATAGGTAGGGGTCTCCAAAAGAACCGGGACCGCACGTAACTTAAGTGAAATAAAAAAATGATGTTATTTTGGTTGAAAAATCATTTAAAGAAACATTAACGGACGGTAAATATGTCACATAAGTAGGGGTGTGCAAAGGAAGCGAGAACCACTCGGAACTGACGGTTCCCATGGGGACCGATCTGATTCCCAGTTCCAATTTACCATAATCGGTGAGTAGCGGTCCGGTTCCCAATTCTAGGCATGAAACTACCCACCCTGATCATACCGATATACATACATACATATATATATATATCCCATGCTATAGTTATATTGTGAAAATTGCTTATTTAATTTCACAAGTAACTTGCCTACACAAGTTCGATGATTTTGGAAGCTGACAAGAAAAACTCCTATTAGATAAAGTGATGAAATGTTTCTTTGGAGAGTGGCTTTTGGTCTGCTTCCCTTGAGAATAACTTTGTCTCAACTTTGTCTCAATGTGTTCGCATAGAATCAATACTTTTTTTATTATTTGCATAATGAAACCGAAGAAGTACTGACATAAAAACTAGGTTTACCATTGTATTGATTGATAAATGCAATTTTGTATGTATTAGAGACCAGTTCCATGGACCCACCTGGAGATCGAACTGGACCGGCGATCCGGTTCCTGAGTAGATCCATGGAACCAACGAGTGGTTACCAGTTCCAATTTTTTGGAACTAATTCTTAGTCGGCAATTCTCGGTTCCAGGGTGGGAACCGCCCACCCGGACCATGCTTACCCCTACAAATAGATACAAGTTTGGGATTTTTTATGTCACAAGAAAAAGTTTAGGGTGAATATATCACAGTGGGCATAGTTTAGGGTTTTAAAGATCATAAAAAAAATTTAGGGTAAATGTGTCATAATAAACAAAATTTAATATTTTTTGTGACTTTTTCCCTCGAAAGAAATTGGGGAACTGATCCAACGGACCTTAAAACTCGAGCTATGATCTAAGAAAAATGCGAATGGCCAATGATTGCAGAGGCCAAGAGCTGTCCCACTTGGCCCACGGCATGCTAAGGACCATAAGACAGATAACAAACATTTATTGGCTTGCCCATACAAATAACAAAATCAATTCCATCAAAAGTAAACTTTCTCCACCTTCATTTTTTATTTTTTTTATCTCCTCACTTGACATTAGTGTAACATGCGAACCACTTTCCTCTATCTTAAGAAAAGCTGTACCTAAACTAAGGAATCTTAGAGGAACCCTCATCTTGTCCCTAGAAAACTGCCAAGGCTAGCAAACCAGAACCCCTTTTAGGCCTTGCGAGCTTTCCGGGCAAAGCTTTTTTACAGGGTAGGCGATGGACACTTAGCTACTTTAAGAACCATATAGGAATTAAATATACGCAGTGAATACAAAGATGGGTGCTCATCTTCGTTGGCCAACACTTAATATGTCTAGGACCACCTACCTTCCCACTGGGGGTTTTGATTTTGGGCCGGTGAGTGCATTAAGTGAGGAGCAACAAATGCTAGGGATGATGTGGACGCTTTTTTCTTCACATTCGTCAGTGTTCTAACTATAAAAAATGAAAAAGTGGTCTCTCTCCATGTGGTGAATAAGCTAGATCAGGGTAAGCGGAACGATAAGCTGCTTGGCTTTTAATGGAGGTACCTAAAACATGATACTTTAAGAGGATAATCTCGAAAAATTGTTGAGTACCGGATTGCCTCGTTGGAAACATAGCCACCATAAATCAACAAATGTTGAGTGGTTAGGCATTTGACTCGGATGAAACATGTTTAGTATATGAATCATGACATGTCAATTCAGAGTATTCTCGAGGGCTAACTCCACACCCTGCAAGTGGAGCAACATAAGCACTTGGACGAGTTGGTTTGCATGCATAATCCGTGGGATAAATTCAGCTCGAAGGTTTCCTATGTCATTCAATGGAGTGACAAAATGTTGGAGTTATTATTGCACATGCCCTTATTAAAGAACATAGTCTTTAACAATCAATAACAAAATCTGATAGATCATAATAAACTGCCTTCGTCGCCCTCTTGGCTTTTCACCACTTCTCTTCATTTTTTTCCAGTAATTTTAAAAATGAACTTCATCAAATACATGGACAACAAGCCCTCAGGATGGGAGTAGTTGATTGACACGTCAGGAGATTTTCTTTTAGGAACTAAAAATTACCTGTCTTAATCATACTGATTGTGTGCAAACTACTATGAGTGTACAACATATGCATAGACCCAAGGTATAAACTTCACAGGCTCATAAAACTTGAAGGATGTTTCATAGACATTTAGATAGTCAGGGCTCTACGCTTTTAGATATTTTAAAAAGTTACATGAATGAAAAGAATTATAAATTATATATTACATTCTCTGATGAAATGATATGAGAGAGCCACGAATATTTTCCTCAAAAGTAACGGTGAAAATTTCTAAAAGAAAGGAAAACTCCCCCACTCCCCCAAATAAAATATACTACATCGGATCTTGGGCTAGCCTAACTAATGTGCCTGTGGTTTTTTCCTTTAATTAGTATTTGTCGGATCATATATAAAAATGTCAAGGCATGCCCGGAGCTTAAATAAGTCTATTATCAATTTAGTATTGTATTGTACACGCTCTACTTTTGAGGTAGTCCTCCACTATGGACTTGCTTCCTACCTCAGTGGGAAAATCCATCAGCTTTCTTTTATGAAATTACGAGTTTGATTAGCGTCATGAGCGTATCTCTAAATGGGTTCGTACAATATTGCCTAACTACACAGCATCTCTTGTGTGGAAAGATTTTTCACTTCCAAAATCTTGGTTGATATTTTGGTGCGTGACTCAATCCGAATATTTTGTACCGTGGGTGGCCCCCTCATAATAAGGCTTAGAGACGATGGCTAGTACTGGTTGCCCCTTCTGCCCCTTACCAATCAGAAAGACTAAAAAGTCGCTTTGGTTATCCAAACCATAGAAGAAACCACCAAATAATCTCGAACATATCAGTTAATCGACCAAGAAAATGGACATTTATGATTCATATTAACACTACCTGACATTGAATGCGTAAACTGTTTTTCTGTCTAAAATTGATGTGGCTGGATGTTCCCATTTCGTGTCCCTGAGCTATTAGAAAAATCAAGAACATCGATGTAAAAGATTGGGGATAATGGATCACATATAGAGCCATAAAGATATTAGAAAGAAAGTCTTCAGACGCATAAGTTCGCGCCCATCTTTCATGTTAGGTACAACTGTAGAAGGCTATCTTCGTAATATAACACGGGTTTCAACTGCATATAACTACCTCCTACCAGCGTCTCTGAACAGAACATACCTCATACTCTCACTCCTTTTCCAAAATCAAACTCAGAGAGGCTGTAAAATGAAGCAGAGCGACAATATTTCATGCCTCCAACTTGTTCGTCTGATAATCATAGCCGTCCTAACAATAATGTTCATCGTCATCACGCATTGCAGGGGTCAAGTCGAGGCCAAGAGGAGTCACATGATCAAGAAGAGCAAGAGTCACGGCCACAACCATCATAATTCTCCTGCACCAGCTCCTGCCCCACGTTATGGTGACCATCGCGCTGAGTCAAGCATGTTCAATGTGCTCTCTTTTGGAGCTAAAGGAGATGGAGTGTCCGACGATTCGAAGGTATGTGTTTGCATCTTCTTTAGTCTGCTTGTGAGTGCGTGTGCGAAGCAATGGTCGATTTGCATTAGTCACTAGTGGAAAACTTTAGGATAAGGTTAGTCTGCTATCTTAATGCAATGCTTTAACTACAACATATGAATCTCCCATTTAGTAATTTGCATGCACTCTTTAACGTAAGGGAATACAAAAGTTGAATGGTGCGGAAGGCGCGAAATGTTATCTGATACATTCACTATATAGGCTCTAACTCACATACAGTACCTAAAAATGGTGAATGTTTTTGTGAAGACTTTTCATTTTCTCGATCGTACAATTGGTTTCTGAGTCGTGATTGGCTAAGTTAACACAGTAAGCTACACTGAATTTCGGTGTGACAAATTCTTGACCAATGTCTGAGTCTGAATCCTCAAGCCAGTTCAAATGAACAGGCATTTTCAGCGGCATGGAAAGCGGCTTGCAAGGTACCCTCGGCCACTTTGGTAATCCCGCAAGGACTCAAGTTCCTGGTCAAGCCCATCTCTTTTAAAGGCCCTTGCATGCCTAATCTTGTTCTTCAGGTTCATTCATATCACAACCTCTTCCTATGTACCCTTTTTCTGGTTCAAGTTTGGAAGTATTATGTCAGAATTTATTTGTCATCACCATTTTCATGATTGTCATTACCATTTTTTTCCAGATTGATGGAATTGTTCAAGCTCCTCCAGAAGTAGGCTCCAGGAAAAAATACAGTTTATTACAGTGGCTGAATTTTAAATGGGTCCAGAACTTTACAGTCCAAGGCACTGGGACTGTTGATGGTCAAGGGTCCGAGTGGTGGAGTCTCTCCCAGATGCTGCACTACAATGTGCAGGTCACTCGAATTAATAAGACCAGTCTTCTTCTCTTCAATGACTACACATGAAGTTTATTCTTAATGTTCCTAAATTTCATGGAACATTAGCTGGGTGCTAAATGTGCTTCTTGTGTTTCCTTTCTTTGCAGAGCACATCGAAACACATTTTGGGCATGAAACCAACGGTAAGGATTCTTGCATTTGAACATAGATTAATGCGAATGCTAGGTTTGTTCTTGATGGTTTATTTGTTTCTATCTGTGCAGGCTTTAAGGTTTTATTCAAGCTGTAATGTGATGGTCCGTGGCATCAGCATCGTCAATAGTCCTCTCTGCCATCTGAAGTTCGACAATTCCAGAGGGATCAAGATTAGTAACATCACCATTTCCTCGCCCGAGGACAGCCCAAATACTGACGGCATTCACCTTCAGAACAGCCAGCACGTAGAAATCGAACACTCGAATATCGGTTGTGGTATGTACATAATTTTCCTAGATGAGCGATCCCTTGATTGCTCCTCATTCTTCTGGGCAGATAAAGACTATATTCATAATCCCATGCTTGCTCTTGATGTAGCACATGTTTGCAGGAATTGTTTCTTAGTCAGTAGAAGGTCACCTGTTAAACTTTTCAAAAAGCATCACACTAGGCTAATGTTTTTGTTTGCCTAATACTGAGTTAAGAGAATGGATTTTCTGTTTTTTCCCGTTTGGATCCAGCAAGCACTGACGTTGGAAGTGCATTATAGAAAGTAAACAGTCTTGAGAGCACTTACTGACACTGCTAATACCATATTTTATTATCGTCGTAATTAAGATTATCTTATGTTTTCCTTTTCTTTCTTTTTCACTCGTTTGATGAAATGTAGGAGCTGAAAGTATAAATACTAAAAATTTAATGTTAGAATCTTTAGCTACTAAAAATGAAAACAAAAGTTGTATCATAATAGTTGAAAATTGAATTATGAATTCCACTAGTTTCTTACCTAACATGGGTAAATAGCACTATTGGAAGGTTTTAACAGTATAGTTGGCAAAATTTTAATTTCCATCAAGTAATTTATTCTTTGCTGTCGATTTGGTAAAACTGAAAATGAAGTGCTGAATTTTAAGCATTGATTTATTTTCAGAATTGCTAAATATTTGGTATTGAACTATTTCTTTTCTTGTCGAATTTTGCACTATGAATATAATTGGTAAGGTTTAGCCTTCTGGCAATGTAATATGAAACTTTTTATTTCCTATTTTGATACATTTTCTATTGAATGAATTGAGTAACCACATTCTTTCTTAGCAAATCAAGTGATTTTTTGACTTAATTGAATCTTTTAAGTCAAGTCAAAACTGGTTATGCTTATCAAACGTGCTTAATTTTCTTGAGTGCAATATATTCATTTTCAGCACTTATCGGAGGTATCAAAAAGACCCAAATGATATTTAACTTAAAACAATCAATTAAGTTGCGGGAAGTTAGAGGTTATCAAATGCACTTAATGGCTTAGTGTTGAAAAGTTCTATTCAAAACTTAATGTAGTTATCAAACACACCCTTAGTATTGGTTTCTAATCATGCAGGGGATGACTGTGTTTCTGTACAGACGGGCTGCTCTGACGTTCACATCCATCACATTAGTTGTGGCCCTGGACACGGTATAAGGTATAGTGATACATATATAGAAATGAGAAGGAACAAATATAAACGGACATGATAACTGTTATGGGTAGAAAATAATTAGTAGATCTTGTTCAAAATAAATCCAATATAAAGTGTTCAACTATCCATCTTGTTAAACTTAGACCGAGTCTTCGAAAAGAGTACTTAGATATTATTTAGGATGGATCACACTTATGAATCTAGTCGTTGGCCCTTTGCCATCAGTGTTTATCATAATGGCCAGTAATACTCCCTCGCCTTCAATGTGTCATTTGGCACATTCTGCCCCTGGCCTTCTGCTATCCAATAAGTATTCTAAAAGCGGCACCTTATCCAAACCTTTTGGCCTTGTTGACTATTCCTCGCCTTCACCAGAACAACTTAGCCCCCATGCGTCCTCGAACCACACATCTACTATTGGGTTTTCACTTCAATACTATCTATAATAACTCAGCTGATTTCACGTGAGTCAAACTTCCAAAAAGAATAATAAAGTGCAACACCACAATGTGATGACCATTTGAGAGTAGGTCCCCCCATTATGAATGAAGTCATAAATTCTCTCCATCTATACGGACTTTGGGTATCACAAAATATTTGTTTGGGCCTAGATTATTAATTTTAATTCATTGTGAGTAATAAGTTTTGATATATTAGGCATCGCGTTCCCAGTATTGTGACCCACATTACCAGGTTCAGATAATTTAATTTTATAAATACCCATAAGATTTTGACTCACCTCTCGCATTAGATAATTCTTGAAATTAGTAGGGTATTTCATGGAACTTATGCCTATTGATGTGGTCCTTATCATAATTTTAAATGATAAAGATCATCTATCATGATGTCTGAAGTATAAATAAAGTCTTACATAGGGCTTGTTCATTCATACTTGGTTAAAGTAAAAAAATCCGCTATTACTTTCTAGCCAAAATTCTAAAATCATGAAAAAAATTTAAACGATTACTAATGATCTCAGCTGTCCATGTATAGGCTTCTTAAGATTTCCAGGCAATAAATAATAAACCAAAGTATAATGAAAAAGTTAAAAGCAACAATTACCCCAAAAAATTGATTTTAAGCAAGCAGTTTTCTAATGTTCATTTTGAATAGACATCATTTTATACCTCTTACGTGTGATAAAGAAAGTTCCAATCATCATGGTTGGACTAAAAAACAAGAAGAGTTCTCCAGCGTTTCATAAACCCTTTTATATGGTTTGTGAAAAGTTGTGAAGAGCCATGAAACCTAATTAACTTTAGCTTATGCAAAATGCATTGATACATGGATATCAATTAAATTTTGGAAGCAAATTGAGTTTTCAATTTAGCTCCTCGTTCGTAGCGTCAATAGACCGAACCAAAGGTTCTTCGTCAGATTCGATGTCATCTCCCTGGTGATATGACGAATTGGGATTGAATGGGCTCACATGTATTTGGTGCATACAATCATTGCTCCCTTCCCTCCATCCCCCTTGCCATGAAAGAGAGTTAGATGTGAAGATCAGAACAACACATACCATTTCCACTATCAAATAGAGATAATATCAAGTAATCCCTACATTTCAAAAGAAAAAAAAAACTATCACATGGTACTCCCAAGATACCACATATAATACATACCTCATGCATCAACAATAGAGACAAAAGGCAAAGATGTGCTAGATTGATGATTCCATACCAAGTTTATCATGGTGACGAATTTTAACCACTGAATTAGAGTTTTGAATTTATTGGTGACAGTTTAGGAGGATTAGGGAAAGATAAAAGTGTGGCATGCGTCTCCGACATTATTGTAGAGAACCTCTCTCTAGAGAATACACTATACGGTGTACGAATCAAGACTTGGCAGGTAAAACAAAAAATGCCAAATCTTATCATTAATTCTTTGCCTAATGTCAATTATTCTACAAAACAACTAACCATTTCCCATGTAATGTAGGGAGGAGTTGGGTCAGTCAAGAACGTATCGTTCTCAAACGTTCAAGTCTCTGACGTGAAGGTCCCGATGATGATCGATCAATACTACTGCGACAAAAGAATTTGCAAGAACCAGACTGGAGGCGTTGCGATAACCGGGGTCAAATTCGACCAGTTTGTCGGAACTTACGCAGCGCAGCCCCTTCACATTGCATGCAGCCATGACGTCCCGTGCACCGACGTCGATTTGGTGGACATTCAACTGAAGCCGTCGCCAGGAGTCGGTGGTTCCCGGGAGGCTTTGTGTTATAACTCTTATGGAAAAGCCGTGGCTCCTCTCGTTCCTGCTAGCATTGACGATTGCTTGAGAAGTGATGGTGGGTCGATCAAGCGAATTGCTAGGTCACCCGATGTAGTTTGCTAGTGAACATGGCAACGATTTCTAATATTGAATTGGATCATCATTTTTTTCTTATTTTTGTTTCTTTTCTTTTCTTTTTCGAGTGGTTCTTCCTCTTAGGTTATTTTCTTCCTTTTAAAATTCTTCCGTCTGCATCCTTTTTTGATGTGGGAAGGTGATGATGTAGATTTTGTCGAATTGGATCTTTAATTACTTTCACCGCATGCTTCAAGACAGGGAAGGTAGTCTAGAAATTGATCGAGCTGAATAAAATGCAAAGTTCTTTTATATTAGTCCTTTCGAAATCTTTTGTTGAAAGGTCTAAATTCGAATCGAAAATGCCCTGAAACCAACAGTACAACAACCTCCACTTTTAGATAATTGAAACTTACCAGTTGGCTTTTTATCTTCATTTAATATCTTTATAGAAACAGATCCGAGGGAGGCAAAATGTTGGGAATCAAATAAGCTTCGCGCAACCTTCAACTAACATGATGCATTTCAAACTTATTTAGCGTGGGTGGGTCACGACCAAAGTAGACCTGGGTGAGACCACCTACAATGGTATTAGAGTCAGGATGCGAATGTTGGGTTTCGAATATATCTCTGATGCCATAGCACCTAGATATGGGATGTTGCACTTTGTAGATAAGTCTCACTAACTCTTCCGTGAGGGGCCTTGAGAGTAAACCTTCTCAACCAAATGAAAAATAACTCGTCGAATTCGTACTACCTATCGATTATATTCAAAGGTAAAATTTAAAATGACTTGATATAGGATGCCTTTCGTTTGTTTTAATTGGCTGTTCACGGGACTAACGGAGTTCGGCACAAGGCCCCTGCATCATTTAGGTTATTGGCCATTCCTAGAGTCCTTGTTGAGCATGTAAAACATCAAATGCGGTGGTGCCACCTAGGACTGGACCTACTCAGTATCTGTTCTCGTATCTATGTTAGTTTATGCTCTAGCAACGATGCTTCTATCAACAGATGATTGGATTTGCTCTTTAATGCATGAACTGCTTGTTATTGTCCAACTTATCCTGCTCTTATCAAAACCGTATCTGCCACTATCCAGCATCTACTACTCCTGACTGATTCTATATGACATTTCTCCTATTTTTTGCTTCTATCCAACATGAATGCCTATCGATACTCCACACTTTTTTTTTTTGTCATATTCAAAAATAGTATAAGCAAGACATTTTGCTAATGACAAAAAGTAGGTGATATAGAAAATGCACTGACCGTACTATATAAAACTCAGCAAGTTCTATACATGCATTCACATTTTTTTCCATCCTCAGAATAATAATCTAGATCTAGGCCAAAATCAGCTCAATCTTGATCAAATTTGTTCATACTTGATCTATGTTTTTCCTCAATGTGTTGCTTCTTTGAGTTGATCATGATTCTCCCATTTTTTTTTAATATTTTTCCTCTTCTTTGGTAGCTTGTGCTCCTTTCAAACTATCCTCAAACCTTGAATAGTCATTCATGATCACCAAACAATACATTTTACCACCGAGGCTAGTGTTCCTTGTTGGTCTGAATAGGTCCATTGGTAACAGCTGCAAAACTCAGTTAGTAGCAACATTACTTATAGATTTGAAGGATCTCTTTACTTGCTTAGCCAACGAGCATGCATTGCACAATTCAGATTTTTCATACTTTAACTTAATGAATCCACGCACTAGGTCCTTTGTAGATAATTTAGCACTTTGGTTCATGCTAATAAGACCAAGCTTTCTATGCCATAGTTCTTCCTCATCCTTAATAGATACAAGGCATAGAATAGCATCACAATCAAGATGAAGAAAATAGAAATCACCATATCTTTTTTGGTAAACGATTGAGATCTAGCTTTACTTACTTCCAACACATTTACATTCCTTGAAATTGATTTTGTAGCATCTGTCACATAGTTGGCTAATGCTAATCAAGTTGTGGTTGAGTTCCTTACTAGAGTTACATCTTCAATTATCAGGTTACTCAACTTGATGTTGCCCTTGCCAACAATCCTTTATCCTTTCCTCTTTTTGCTCTTCATCTGTAACATCCCGAATTTCGAACCGTTACCGGGACCAATAAAGTGTATATTAATTCTCGTTTAATTTTAGTAAGTCTCGCCCGGACTTGATCAATCACGGGATACTAACCCGATGGGAAAGGCTAAATAGGAAATGGTACGTGGACCGGGGACACGATCGCGAGTTGAGTACCGATTTCGAGAAATGCCGAGGGAATATTTTGGGCCAACATGGGCCGATCTTAGGAAAATGACGGATTCGATGTAATCAATGACGTACTCTCGGACCGCGGGTGATTCCGCATGACCGAAAGTTCGCTTGACGAACGAATCCCGAAATTAATCCGAACGATCGCGACCCCCGGCACTAGTGATAATTCCTCGTGTTCTACCGAAACTCGAGGCCATCACGATTCGGACAACCCTAGGTCGATACGTGTAACCCCTAAACAGCCGCCCGTTAGTGAGAGACCCTAAAACTTCAAAACGAGCAAATTTGAACGCGAAATTGGACCCGAGCTTCGATGTCGAAATTTCGAGGGCGTTTGCGACTATTTTGTAAGGCCGACGTCATTTTAGTGTGGCCACATATGTTTGGGGCTAGTACGGCTGAAAATTGGAATTTCGGCAGAAATTGGAAAAATTTACAATTTTGCCCCTGGAGACTCCGGCAACCGTTTTTGAGGCCAAATGAGATTATTTTTCGAGGCCGATGCCATTTTGGGGTGGCCACGCATATCTGGAGTGCGTACGGTCGAAAAATGGAATTTCGAACCCGGGGTGAAAAATTACGGTTTTGCCCTTCAAAACTTTCGGGCTGATTTTCGAGGGCTTAAAGGAGGATTTTTACGAATCCGACGCCATATTATGCTGGCCACGCATATATAGGATTGATATGGACAAAAATTGGAATTTTGACCCGGGATCGGAAAATTACCAAAATGCCCTTGGACCCATTTTTGGTAATTCCGAATTTTGGCCATTTTTGGGAGTTAACTAGGGTTAATTGGGTCAACTATGGTCTGGTCAGCCCAATAATTGAGGGCTAAAGACAAAAAGACCCTTGCATTATTGGATAAGGTGGATTTCTAACCCTTGGATGAAGGGCAAATTTGTCCAAAGCCCTAGATTGGTGACATGTGGAACCCACTAACCCAACTTTAACCCATAATTGACCAGCTCATCTCTCTCTCTTCCATTTTCCCGGCCAAACCTCCACGAGCAGCCTCTTCCTCCGCCGTTTCCTTGCTCGGCCAGCCACCGCCGGATCTTCACCGCCGCCGCGCCGGAGCCCGTCCCGCCGAGCTGCTGCCGCCGTGACCCCACCATCCCCAGACATCACCCACAGCCCATTCGACCACTTCATCCCTTGTTCCGCCGTCCTCAGCCGCCGTTTCAACCGAGACCGAGAAGACCGTCGCCGCCGTGCACCGCCGGTCGCCGTTCAAGCCAGCCACCGCCGTCCTCATCGCCGTACCTCCGTCCCCGACGTCCCTAGCCTCCAGCCGTCTCCGCCGCCGCCTCCCCTGTCTCGGCCGTGGGTGGCCGTGAGTTCACCGGCGCCGCCGTGAGCCGCCGGCTTGTTCCCCCCGGAACGCCGCCGCCGATTTTGCCGCATGTCGGTAATTGGCCGCCCGTTTCCGTCGAACCGAGTCGATTAGGCGAGTATTAAATCCCTAAACCCGAATTAGATTAATTTGCATTTTAAGCGGGTAAATTAGGGGTTAATTAGCCTAGATTATGATTAAATTATAGGTTAATGTGTACTAGTTGATTATGGGGTATTATTAGAGCCTAATAAAATGATTTAAGTGTGATTTTAGGCCCAATTAGGGGCTGTTCTGGTACTGTTCATCCAGAAACCGAGAATGCATTATTTTGCCTAAGTTGTGGATTAATTGGGTTAATGTGTGGTTGTTTGAATTGGGTGACCCAATGTCTAATTAAGGCGTGGTTGGATTAAATTGTTAAGGCCATAATTGTGGGACTAGTGGCTGAATTTGATTCGTCCATGGCGGGCCTTAAACGCGTTGAATTGCATTGTTTTAAACACGTGAAATAAGTGCCGGGTTTAAGTGGACTAAAATGGAATGAATTGTACGTGCCGATAATGCGTTGAATTCGTCGAATTTATGAATAATTGTACTTGGCATATGAGCATTGATAATTCGCTTGGATTCCATTTCTCGTGATTTCGTTATTAGTGTTTCAATATGATTGAAATTGCGAGTGCTAAAAGATGCACGTACCTGATGTGACTAAATTGTGGCCTTCGGATCGGGCCTTCGGGTCGTTTTAAATTGTGGCCTTCGGGCCGGGCCTTCGGGTCGTTTTAAATTGTGGCCTTCGGGTCGGGCCTTCGGGTCGGGCCTACGGGTCGATTTATTGCTGAAAGTGGCCTTCGGGTCGTGGCCTTCGGGTCAGGATATCTATTGGCCTTCGAGTCGGAATAATCGTGTTATTCATGAAAATGGCAATCGTGTGCCGAGAACGTTATTTGTGTGTGTATTCAACAGTTTGCACGTGATTATTGTTGATAAATGCCTAACTTGCAGGGCTGTGATATAAACGATTTGGGCCGCGGGCCTAGGAATTTATGGTGATTTAATGGCACACTGCATGGTGTGTTTAATTTACCTGTCAGGAGGTGCATGTTAGCCTAGTTTAGGTTTAGGGGTTATTTACTTGCTGAGATTCATCTCACGGTTGTTGGAAACCGACTTTTCAGATCCCCGGCAGTGAGGATGGCAGAGGCGCCAATCCGTTTTGGGACTCCCCAGTTTATCGAGAAGACTATGTCTATGCATGTCGCACCTTTTTGACCAAGCCCCGCCTTAGTCTAGTATCCCCGGGCCACCATCTTTTTTGTTCAATGGCCGTTGCTCAGTTTGTCTTCTAGTTGCTTTTCTTGTAATGGATGTTGTATAAATTTCTGCAGTAATGTAAAATGTTTTTATTTGTGCTAAATTCCAGTGCTGTGCTATCCTTGGTTGTCTTGTATATTGTACGGGTGTATATAATATATATATATATATATATATATATATATATATATATATATATATATATATATAGACGTTGCTTCCGCATGTGCATTGGTCTCTGTGCGTTGGGTGCTGGGTCGGCGACGCGTCCTGGGATGTCGCAACAAATTCGACCAGTGACGGGATGCTCGCGCTTCGTGGGGTGCGGGGCGTGACATCATCTCTTTGTTTTCCTCTCTCTATCGTCGTGATAGTTCCAGCAAATAACTTTAATC